AGCGATTTCCAGCATAGAACTTACCATTTTTAATGGCTAGAGCCATAAGTTTGTGTCTCTTGTTTTTGGGTTACGTTTTTTTGGGTGGTTTCCGGTGATTTTTAATGGAGGTAATTGTATGTTTTTGGATTTCGACCAAGGTAGTAGCCGGAGGGGTGGGCTTCTTGTTGTCGGAGGTGAAGGTGCAGTGGGCGGAGGTTTGGCCGGCAATGGGATCTATCCATGGAGGTGGGAAAAAGGGTTTAAGGAAGGAAGAAGATGAAGAGGAAAGGGAAAAAAAAGAAAAAAAAAATGTGGTATTGGATAGTATTACCCATACTATGGTAGTGGATAATACTTACTCAATAAGCTACCCCTATAAACAGTCCACTAAATCACTAATTGGGCATTTATAATTCCCATCAACCAACATCAAATTAGCGGAATCAAGGGTCATGATTGGTCGTTGGGCTGCCCGCTCTTTTACATCCAGCAGATCCGATTATTAGCTTTGTGCTTTTTTTTGCACTTGGGCCTATAACTTAATCTTTGTTGTTTTATGAATCCTGGCCTCATTACTTAGTCCGTAATACTAGCTTGTAAAACTTGGACTTCTTCACCAATCAAGCCCTTATTCACCAAACTAAATTTATTTAACTCGGTCTTGGACTTTAAATATTACGGTCATAAAATACGATATAACTCCAATATCTTTGTAGTGGCTCAATAAGCTCGGGAATTATCACAATTCTGCAAATTCCTACAAAATAATATCAACTCTACAAAAACACTAGAAAACGTATATTAGTAATAAAAATAGCTACGTATAGCTCAAATAAGCACAAATATGACCGTGGGTTAGGGAATAAAAATAAAAATATATTTAAAATAGACTTATCAATGACGTGACATAATAAGAAATTGAGTAAGTGACGTGGCGAAATGAGGGAGGCTACATGGCGTACATACGTTTTTTTGTAACGCCTTTTAATATATTAGTATAGATTATTTTATATGTAAATATTAAGTAGAGAAACATTAGGGCATGTTCGGCAAAATGTATCTGTAGAGGTAGTTGTTAGCTGTGATGGTAGTTGTTAGTTGTCAACTAGCTGGTAGCTGTTAGCTATGAAAATAAATAATTCAACACAAGTGTTTGGTAAACTAGCTGTTAGATGTAAAATTCTAAAAAAAAATAGAAGAAAAATCAACAGCTACCTAGTTTTTAACAAAAATTAATAATGGGCGTGTTCGGCGTTAGCTTTTGAGTAGTTTTTAGGTAGCTTTTAGTGGTTTGACTTGGTCAAACCACTACTCAACAAAAAATGTGAGTGTTTGGCAAAGTAGTGTTTAGGGTAGCTTTTAGTGGTGGAGGTAGTTTTTGAGAAAAGTTAGAAATATTAGTTTTTGAAATTAGAGGTAGTTTTTCAAGTAGCTGTTGAAAATTTAATCTATAGTTTTAAAAATAAAATATTGATTTTTATATGTAACAACTAGTCAACCACTACTTTACCGAACACTCATATCTAAATTATTTATCTTCACAGCTAACAGCTTGTTGACAGCTAACAGCTACCTACACAGCTAACAGCTAGCTCCACAACTACAACTAACTTCACATCTATATTTTGCCGAACACGCCCAATGTTAACTTTTCACAAAGCTTCTTCAACCACTAAACTCTACCCCAACCACTACAATTCCAAACACTCACAATTTTTTCTATGTAATGGTTTGAATAAGTCAAACCACTAAAAACTACCTAAAAAGCTACTCAAAAGCTACTCAAAAGCAAAAGCCGAACACGTCCTTAGGGAAATAGTGTCATTAATGATCGAAAGCATAGTTAGTGAAATTAAATTATATGAAAGCATTATTGGAAGTGGAAAAACTACCAAAAAATAAAAATAAAAAAATAAATCCTACATGACACTTTATATGGCCTTTAAATTTTCCTGTTATTAAATATTATTATAGATAGTATTGATTGTTATAGAATTAAGCCTTTTATTGTTTTGGTCATATATATATATATAATGAAGTTGTCGATCAAGTCTAAATTTTTTTTTATATTGTGTCTTTCTGCGTAGATTTATTGTTTCTATGAAATAAAATTGTATAGGTTTTGTACTTTGGTGGATTCTAGCCTAGGGACATCATTATTTGGCTTTTTTTTTTTTTTGGCCACAACTATATATATGGGATGTTATACTAGTAAAAGATTTAGGGTTATGATGTTATTTGGGCTACAATTGTATTTGAATATTTAAGTTTAAATGTCATTGAGCCTTGCATAATACTCTAAAGAATTTTCTGACTCCTAAAATCAAATACTACGTATAAATGACCACATCCTAAAATAATTTGTTAACCTCTACAGAATTCGTGCGCTCTTAAAAATCATATACAATTACCGCATTCTAACAAAAAATTGTTTACCCCTAAAAAAAGCTCACCCTTAAAATTCAAGGCCATAAGAATTTGTTAGCCCCTAAAATCATATGCAAATAACCTTACTCTTAATGAACTGCTAACTAAATAATTTGCTTATCCCTACAAAAAATTGTTCACCCCTAAAAAATCATATACAATTACTTCCCTCTTAAATAAATTGCTCTCCCCTAAGTAGTTGGCTCATCTCTAAAAAAGATATACATATATATATATATATATATATATATATATATATATATATACATATATATATATATATATATATATATATATATCATATCATATAACTAATATATAAAGCTAAACTTTTAGCCAGGCGACGAGATAGCGACACTTGACGTTCCAATTTTTCGCCAAGTGTCGCGCCACGTAGAATAGAGTTATATAGAATTCAATTTGTAGGATAAAAAGTTAATTTTAGAATTCTATTTTCAATCAAATTTGGATAAAATTTTAGGATAAAATTTTAATTTAGAATTTTATTTTCGATAAAATACCAATATTTCATATGTACAAATTAAATTATAATTTTATTAATCATATTATTTTTTTTGGAGCGAAGGAACTAACTCAAAATGCACCACATCCATTATTTATAATATATTCTAATCAATTAAAACAATATACTTTACAATCTAATATAATTTTATTACTGTGTGTAGACCTGTCAATCGGGTCGGGTCACGAGTCATTTCGGACAAGGTCATTATTTCAGGTTACGGGTCAAGAAATGTTTTTCCCCAATGTTATTATTATTAGTTATTACATGCCTACTATATAGTTTAAATCATCACAAAAACACATCAATTCCTAACTAATTTTGTATCAATGATATGTTTTAAAATTTGACATATAGATTAAAAATTTATCTTATTCAATAAATAACCCGGGC